TTCAACTAAAGTTTGTGGATTGCTTCACTAGAAACCCTCATGAGACAACACTCGTATGCTAAGGGAAATCCAGTGGTTTAGCTGCATGTTGCATATGCTAAATGCAATCGGATGACCTACGAAAATGGCATTGTGAAAAAGTTTTCATTTAGAACACCAATCCATGTTCGAATGCCATCTTGAAATAATTGAGGGCCCCTAGGAGATTGCTAGGGTGATGACATGTGGCCTATTGCAGCTATCTACTGTAGGTGACAAAAGCTACTTGAGTACCACGTTCAAAAGCCACCAACATTCAAATGCTCATCAAAGAAGACAGGCTTCCATGTTCGAACTCCAATAACGTTCGAACACCAATCTCAAACAAGCAACATGAAGATTAGATCTCCATCCGGATTTTTGGGCATTCACTTGGACTTTCAGCACCTATAACTATACTTTTACTCTCCTTTTACCCCCTCCTCCTTGCCTATAAATACCCTCCTTTGGAACTTGTTAAAGATCATCTTTGGAAAAGGAAGAAACCTTCCAAAAAGTAACTAACTTTCATTTACTTTCATTATTAGTTTTATTAATTTCCATTGTAAAAGTTTCTTTCTTCACTTAGAAGAGTGAAACTCTCTCACCTTTCTGGCTCTCTTGTAGCCTTGAAGGGTCGGTAGTGATTCACTCATTCTTTATTTAAGATAGGCTTATTTTGTAGTTTATTTTATCTTGTAACTCATCTACTTGGAGGGATGAGAATCACACACTTTTCTAGCTTTCTCAAAGCCATGAAGAGTGAGTAGTTTCTAATTCACTCTTTAGTAAGAGGTGATGAACATGTATAAATCATTGGATAGTTATATTTGTGCATTTCATTTATGCTTAATGCTTTATCTTTTGATTGCTTATTGAAGGATTGAATGCATCTAGCAAAGTTAAGATACTTTGTGCAATCATGAGTTCTTTCTAAGACAAGTTAACTCTTGGCATAGGAGGATTCATTGGTTCTTTGCAAGTAATCAAGCTAGATCTTCATGACAACACTTCAATCTTCACTATTATTATGCTTTAACTAAGAATGGAATATTATCACAAAGATTGGATGACTTGTAGAATTAATTGCTTGCTTGTTTGTAGATGGGTTGAGTCTTGGCACTTACAATTCTTGCAAATCTCTTCAAAGACATCAGAATCGTGCTCTTAATTCTCACAGTCTATCTTTATCCTCTAATTAACTTTCTATTGACATAGGGGTTAATTGAGTTCTCAAACACAAATATAACAATTGGATAATTGATTATATGTCCAGATCCTCAACCTAAAAGTTGACTCTTTCATTTGAGAGAATCTTATATTCTGTCTAGGAAACTTTATAATCATCATAACTTCAAATCACAAAGGTTCCATTCATTTTGGTCTTTGTCACTATTTACTTCAAAACACCAACAGTAGTTCCCTGTGGATTTGACTCTAGACTTAGCCGAATTATAACTACAACTTGACTGCCTACACTTGGGTGTACACATTTTGGATCAAGTAAATGGACTCTTACTGATATCAAAGGTATTAGTCCCTTAGTGTGCATAGACAAGATCTTCTAAGAGTATAATGCCAAAACATCTAGAGAGATGCAATAGAGACTCAACCCTAACATGAAGGAAGTTATTAGGAATGAAGTGTTGAACCTATTGGATGTAGGGATCATATACCCTATAGCTGATAGTAAATGGATGAGTCCCACATAGGTAGTCCCTAAGAAACCAAGTGTGACTATAGTTGTCAATGACAATAAAGTGCTTGTGCCGACTAGAGTAATAACTTGTTGGAGAATTTGCATAAACTACAGGAAATTGAACTCTATGAAAAGAAAATATCACTTCCCTTTGCCCTTCATGGATCAAATTTTAGAGAGGGTAACTTCACACTTGTTTTATTGTTTCTTGGATGGTTATTCGGGATATAAACAAATTGAGATTGCCTTAGAGGACCAAGAGAAAACTACTTTTACTTGTTCTTCTGGTACCTTTGCATATCAAAGGATGCCTTTTGAACTTTGCAATGCACCTACGACTTTTCAAAGGTGTATGCTTAGAATTTTTAGTGATATGGTTGAGCATTTTCTTGAGGTTTTTATGGATGATTTTACTATTTTTGGTGATTCTAATAATTCTTGTCTTTCTAATTTTTGAAAAAGTGATGGTCAAGTGTGAAGAAAAGGACCTTGTGCTTAATTGGAAAAAGTGTCACTTCATGGTTCAGAAGGGAATTATCCTTGGTCACATTGTCTCTTTTGAGGGAATTCAAATTGATAGAGCCAAAATTGAATTGATTTTTAATTTGCCTACCCTAAAGACCCTTAAGGATGTTAGATCTTTTCTGGGTCACGTTGGTTTTTATAGGAGGTTTATAAGATACTTCAGTTCAATATCTAGGCCACTCAACCATATCTTAGGAAAAAACACACCTTTCAAGTGGGGTGAGTCTTGCTAAGAAGCTTTTGATAAGCTTAAGGCATGCTCATTACTGCTCTAATTATGCAATCATCAGATTGTAGTCTTTCCTTCAAAATCATGTATGATACCAGCAATTATGTTGTAGGGGCGGTGTTAGAACAATGGAATAAAAAGGCCAGATGTCATATATTTTCTTAGTATGACCTTGAATAGTGCACATATGAATTATTCTACCACAGAGAAAGAATTGCTAGCATTAGTATTCACCCTAGAAAAGTTTAGGTCTTATCATGTAGGATCACTTATTATTTTTTTCATAGACCATGCAGCTCTTAAATATTTGTTGACAAAGAAATATGCAAAACCTAGATTGCTTAAGTGGATCCTCCTACTCCAAGAAAACCATCAAAGATAAAAAATGAGTAGAGAATGTTATGGCGGACCACTTGTCTAGACTTGTGAGTAAGGTTTCAATGGAGACAATGCTGATGAAAAACACATTCCTTGATGAACGGTTGTTGGCAATTTCTACATTATCTTGGTTTGTGGACATTGTCAATCTTCTTGTGACACGTAACATGCCTACCAATTGGAGTGCACAAGACAAAAGGAAATTTTTGGTGGAGGTACAAAGATTTTTTTTGGGATGATCCCTGCCTGTTCAAGTATTGTCCCGACCATATTATTAGATGACGTATCCCATATGAGGAGGTAAGTAGCATTCTTTCCTTTTTTGTCACTCGGAGGCTTATGGGTGTTAAAAAAATTTTATAGTGTGGATTTTATTGGGCGACACTTTTTAAAGATGCACATAATTTTTGTAAGGTCAGTGAGGGATGACAAAGGCTAGGAGGGATTACTCGAAGGAATATGATGGCCCTTAACTCAATTTTTATCATCAAAAGTTTTGACTGTTGTGGCATTGATTTCATGGGTCCTTTCCTTCCCTCTTTTGGATATTTATACATTTTAGTGGTAGTTGACTAAGTTTTCAAATGGGTTGAGGCTATACCATGTTGAACTAATGATCATAAAATTGTGTTGAAATATTTAAAGGAAAACATTTTGTCCAGATTTGGTATACTTCGAGCCATTATAAGTGATGGGGGATTGCACTTTTGTAACAAACCTTTTGAAGCTTTGATGAAAAAAATATGGTGTTACACATAAATTTGCAACTCCCACCACCCACAGACAAGTGGGCAAGTAGAGCTTGCCAATTGGGAGGTCAAACACATTTTGGAGAAAATGGTTAATCTAGATCGCAATGATTGGTCATTAAAACTAACTAATGCATTATGTTCATACCACACTGCTTATAAAACCCTGATTGACATGTCTCCATACAAATTGATTTATGGGAAGGCTTTCCATTCACTTATTAAATTGAAACACAAAGCTTATTAGGCTATTAAAATGTTTAATTTTATCCTTGACAAAGCTAGCTCCTTACGAAAATTTGAAATTGAATGAGCTTGATGAGATCCGGAATAAAGCTTATGAGAATTCTAAGATTAGCAAAGAATGGATGAAGGTATTTCTTGACAAAAATATTTTGAGAAAAACTTTTGAGCCTTCACAAAAAATTCTTTTGTATAATACTAGATTGTATTTGTTTTTAGGCAAGCTTAGATCTAGATGGAATGGCCCTTTTATTGTTAATGAAGCTTTTTCATATGGGTGGTGGAGATTGAAAACCCCAAGAATGAAATTGTTTTTAAAGTTAATGGTCAACATTTAAAACCGCTCTTGGAAGGGGGAGTCATGAAGTGGAATCCATCAGGTTGGTAGATCCCCACTGTGAATAATCATTGTTGAATCAACGCAACTGTTGTATAGTAAGGTAGTTTTGTTTTTAATAGTTTTTTTTTGGATCTTATTTTTTTAGGTTGGCCCAATGTAGTGTGGTATGTTCATCCCTGAACTTTCACAATTTCTTTGGATTTAACTGTATATTATACATTTGGGACAATGTAATGTTTAGGTTGGGGGGTGGTTCACATTTCATGCTTGTGTTTTTCGCATCACAAAGTCTTTGTTTCTGTATTTTTAGATATTAGTATTTTGTACTTTATTTTTGTTTTTTTCCCTTTTTGAGTCGTAGCAAAATTTGACTAAGTCTGGGATTCAAGAATTTTTCAAGACAAAGAATTTTTTCAAAGTGTCAAAACAAGAGCACTCCGGAAAATGTGTCTGAACGGGATTGACAACACGTCCAGACCCACCATTTTTAAACTCCTTGAATTTTTTTAAGTTTCAGAACGTTGGGGGAGCACTCTGAAAAACGCGTCTAGATAGGTTTGACCATGCATCCGAATGTAAGCCCAAGAGTATGAGATTTGAAAACACGCATCCAGACATGTATGACTTAAATTCCAATTAATAAGTTGGTGAGCATTGCGTCTGGATGGTAGAGAATACATGTTCGGACGTGTGTTCCTGAAAACTTAAAATGGGGCCTTTGATTTTTTTTTTCAAATCTCTTCTCTTCAACTTCTAAATTACCTCCCCTCTCCAAGCCTTCCAACTCTAAAAAACACCAACCTCCTCTTCCTTTTACAGATTATGACGGCACCACCTAGACCCTCAACTTCCAAGAGACTGAGAACATCCACCCAAGAGGCTCCCGTGGATAGGACTTTCGACGTGAGTCGATTCCAAAGTATTAAGGCTAAGGATAGGTATGTTAAAAATTATGAAGTGAAGGCTTTAGTTTCCGATAGGGATATTGAGTATGATAACTTTGCCTGTTTTGGGGTTAATGCCATTATTATGAGAGGATAGGATAGGTTTATGGGTTATGTTTGGCCCGGGGTGATTGTTTTGGTAAGGGAGTTTTATGGTAATATTGTAGATGGGAGCGATTGGAATTTTTACAGTTCTTTGAGGGGCAACAAGATTGTGGTAGACCCTACGTGTATTGCCCGTGTAGGTAGGATAGCCCAGTGTAGGGTGGCCAATCTTGACTACCCACCTTAGACTTGTCACAGGGTATGCTTGAGCCTACACCTCCACGTTAGGCCCTCACTTCCTACGAATCAATCAAGCACCGAGACATCATTGGAAGAATTTTTTGAGTTGATTTGGAATTCCCATTGGAATGACCCCTTTGGATTTACCAACCTTGTTTTCATTACATTTTATCAACAAACTCCATTCATCAAAACACAAACTCACAAGATTTTACACTTTTCTATTTTTAAAAAATCACCTTCACCATAATTCATCCTTCCTTTTTTGAGGAGATGACCTTGGAATACCCATTTCAAGTAAAACACGACACTTGAAAGTCTCTCTTCGCTTGGGGAGAACTTTTGCACACACACACATTTTCATTCACAACACGATTTCTCCATTTCTATCATTGAACCCAAGAGAGAGTGACACTCACCTACACACAAAAGCCTTATACACTTAGTCCGGGTTAGTGTTTGGAGATTAGGGTGAACAGAGTCAAGCATTTTTGGTGTCATTGTCAGGGAAGGCAAAGCATTGAATTAGAAGGTGATTTAGAACAATGGAGGTAAGTCCCATGATTCTCATCATGACCCAAGGTACGTTGCTCCTTGTATATACTTTTTTTTTTACTTTTCATTTCAATTGTAGATATTGTTTTTGTATGTGGGCACGGGACGACCAAAATAGATTGGTTACACGAACCCTAGAACCTAATATGAATCTTGACCAAGATCCACCTGAGGATGCTGGTGACAACTTCAAGGATGAGGATGCTAATGTTCTAAGGGGTGGGGGAATGCAAAACCCTAGAATGCCAAACCCCCGAATGCATTTTCCCCTAGCGAGGTCAATGTGAGATTTTCTCCAACCCACTCATAACACCACCCCTTCATGCATTCTTTTACCAGTCCAAGCTCATGTCTTCCTAGTTAAACCAGAAATTTTACAACTACTTCCTTAATTCCATGGAATTGAAAGAGATAATCCTTATTTGCAGATTAAGGAATTTGAGGAAATAGTTTCAACCTTCCTCACTAATCATGCCATGGAAGACATAGCTTGCATGAAATTGTTCCCTTTTTCCCTTAAAGAAAAAGCTAAAATGTGGTTGAATTCCTTGAAGCCTCGATTAGTGAGCTCTTCGGCACAAATGCTTTTTGATTTTTTGAACAATTTTTTTCGGTGCCCAAGACCACAGCACTTAAAAAGCAAATCCAAATTTTTTTTAAAAAGCCCAATGAGCAATTTTATCAATTTTGGGATCACTACAAGGAATTGCTATAATTCATTCCACAACATGGTTTTGAACCATGGAAATTGGTAAGCTTCTTATACAAAGGGATTACACCGGGCCATCGACAGTTCATCGACATGATGTGCAATGGAGAGTTCTTAAACAAGGATCCCTATGAGGCCCTAGAGTACTTCAATACATTGGCACAAAATGCACAATCTTGGGATATCATGGATCCCATCGATGTACCAAGGTTTTCTTCGAGTAGTAATCAACCAAGCAGGGGAGTATGTACAATTTAAGGGATTGTGAAGACTTGCTTTCCAAAATCATCAAATTGTCTCAAAAAGTGGAGAGTCTAGACGTTAATAGGAGACATAAGGTGTCTAACATTACCAAGGCCAAGGAATTTTTCTCTATTTGTGAGAGTGTTGAGCATTTCATCTTGGAGTGCCCCAACATTCTGGCACTTAAAGAGGTGTACTATGAGCAAGCGAATGCCTTCAATAAAAGTAGGCAATCATTCTCCCCACACTCTAATACATATAATCCAGGTTGAAGTAATCACCCGAACTTTAGTTGGAAGAATGAAAATCTCATTCCTCACGGGTTTAGTTCATATTCACCTCTCATGTCTCCCAAGCAAAATCAATATCATGGTCAAGGTCCTTCGTCTAGCTCCCAATACCCCCGGTCCAATCCACAAGGGTTTTCACAAAGTTCTGCCTCCATAAAATTTTGGTCAACAAGAATCATCCAACCCACCCACCTACCAACTGCCTCATAAAAGAAATTTGGAGGATGTCATGCACCAATTCATCCAAAGCCAAACCACCATCAACAATCAATTTACTGCCGCTTTTAATGACATTTGGACTCAAATCACGAAACTAACCTATGTCATAAGGTCATCACAACAAGCGAAAGGGAAATTTCTCGCTCAACCTCAAGAGAACCAAAGGGTCAACACATGATAGAGTTATCCGAGCCCACCAAATAGAGTTGTGAACAACTCAAGGTGGTCACCACCTGTAGGAGTGGCAAATAAATTGATAAGACCATTTTGCCAAAAGTCCCACCAAAAGCCACATTGGAGGAAGAGATTAAGGGCAATTCCAAGGGAGGTGAGACAAGTGAATAAGAAAAAATTGTTGATTTGAATGGCATGCATGTCCTACTTTGGCCCCTTTTCCCAACGTTTGAAACCACTGATGAAGCTGGCTAATTATTCTGACATCATTGAAATGTTTAAGAAGGTGAAAGTCAACATCCTACTCCTCGATGCCATAAAGCAAATCCCATCATGTGCAAAAAATTTTAAAGATTTGTGCATAGTGAAAAGGAAGTTGAATGTTGATTAGCACAAAAACATGGCATATATTGCATGCTAATCTGCCCTTTTATACTTGTTTTTGTCATGAAATTGGGAAGAAATGTGTTTAATAATAGCTTTAATGGACTTTTGTGTAAATCCTGGAGAAAAGGTGTAAATGGTTGGAGTTATACCCTAAATGAAGTGTTTGCAATCAATGAAAATGAGGAGATGGTTTAAAGGAAGGATTGGAGGGTAAAGAAACCAAGAAAATTGCATTTTGGATGAAAACCTTCCTGAAGGTTTTGCCCAGATTGCCCAGGCAGCCAATAACTCAAGCTCTGCCATTTGGGGGTCCCACTTACACTTCTCCAATACGTCCCCTAACATCCCTTACACATCTACAATCCTCCCCACACCTCTGGTTGGACTTTGAAGGCTTTGGCATTAATCAGGAGGAGAATGAAGAGCAAGGCAAAGAGAGGAGAAGGCTATGCTTGTTCTAGCCTGCAACATTCCATCCAATCAACCCCCTCTTGATGGGAGGCCTGTCACACACCTAAGGAGCTCACTATGGATGAAAATAAGGATTCATTATGTATTATTTTGAATGTATTGCATTGTAGAGAGAGGAACTTTAGGTAGAAGACTCAATTAGAGAAAGAAATTTTAAGATTTTTACATTTTCTTCCATCCATTTCACTTGTAATCTCTTGGAAGGATCTTGTACGCTTCCATTATTGTCTTTAATGTCATATATTTCCACTACATTTCAAGTTTAGTTGATTATCTTAACTTCTACCATTAATTTATTTGAGTTTTCTACATTTCAAGCTTTGAATGGGTATTAAATGCATTTTCCTATAGTTTTGTGTTTTCTTGCATTAGTTAAATTCCAATCTTCAATTCTATTGAATGTCTCTTCATTTTATCTATATTATTGCTTTAAACATGAGTACCTATGTGATTCGTGCATAAAGTTAACAATTTTTACTATGCCTTTTTGGACTAATTGTGCTTTCATGGAGTTTAAGTAATGACATTTCAGGTCCTAAAGTGAACAAAGGCTCAAGAACAACAAAAACCACACTTGAATGTAACACCAGCGCAAAAGGGAAAAAAATTGCAGAAAGGTGGAACCAAGTAAGAACGTTTGAACGTCAACCCATGTTCGAACATCCTCTGAAACCCTGCCAAGACCAACTGCTGAGACATGGCATGTTGCAGTCAACAAAAAGAAGAACCAGAAGTACTTGAGTACAACATTCGAACATCACTCCACGTTCAAACGTTGTCTTGAGTGACTGAGGACCAAGATGCTGTGTAAAGTAAAGGTTGTTCAAGACGTATGGAAGTGACCAAGTCAGAGACCACAGGCCACTTGAGTGGAAGAAATCAGACGCCATCTGGCATTCGAACGCCCTCAAAGCAAAGACATAGACAACATTCAAACGCCATACCACGTTCGAACATCCCCCTGCAGACTGCCTACAGAATAGTTGATTCCCATGGGTGGAAAATACTATTCACTCATCCTCATCTATCTATTACCCCCTTCCCCTTCCTTGCCTATAAATACTCCCTTGTTGGAAGCTTAAGGGGCATTCTTCCTCTTGTAGAGAAAGGGGGAGCAATCTTTGTTCTTGTAAAGTAAGAGTGTTTTAGTAATCTAGTTCTTGAACATTTCATGTTTATGCTTTCATTTTCCATTTATATCAATCATGATGGAGGCTTAGACTCCCCTTGTAGTTGAAGTCTTTCATTTACTTATGCTAAGTCTTTAAATTCATGTTGTAACAACCATGATGAAGGCTTAGACTCCCCTTGTAGTTGTACTTGCTTTTATTTACAAAGTATCAAGAAAGGTAGTTCATCTTTTGGTTGTGATGGAAACCCTCCAAAAGCAACTACGTTTCTTCTACTTTTATTGTTCATGTATTTCACTTCCATTGCTTGAGCATCCTTCTTTCTTAGAAGAGTGAAACTCTTCCACTTTTCTAGAGCTTTACCAAAGCCGTGAAGGGTGGAAAGTGATTCACTTATTCTTCATTGAAGAAAAGCTCTTTGTTTAGTTGCTTTATTTAGTAGCTCTCTACTTAGAGGGATGAGTAGCACTCACTTTTCTAGCTTTGCTAAGGCCATGAAAAGTGAGTAGTTTCTCATTCACTCTTTAGTAAGAAGGGATGAGTATGTAAACATTATCCGAAATTATGTTTGTGCAACTTCTTCATGCTTTAATGCTTTATACTCCACCTATTCATCGGACAATTGAATGTACTT